CACTTTCTGAGCAGCCAAAGAGGCCACATGGACATCAGATATATTTGCTAATTACCATGTGGTGTACACGAATTCTGTGGGTCTCACACACAAAGGACACTGTTAGTTTGAAGGGGACAGGGGTAAGGTTTTCCGGGTCGTGGGAAAGCGGATGTGCTATAAAAGGCTTTGCATTGTGGGTGATTTTTTGCTGTAAGTGGAGTCCAGTAAAGGAACAGAGACTCAAGCTCAACTCTCGTCTCCCTTTTTATCGACTTCCACAACCATATATTTAAACACTGCAGAAATGTGTGTGACGACCCGAGCACAGGAGCTGTGCGGGCGGACCCAAACGAAAGAGGGAGGCAGCGAGAAACAGGTCAAAGGAATTGGTTTTGTTCACAAGGGAGGGGGTTGTGTAGGAAACCAGGTGAAGGAGTCCGCTGGAGAGGTCCAAGTCGCGGTGGGGGTGCGAGGAGGTGGTCGTCGAAGCCGAGGTGCGGGGAAGGATTCCGTGAGGGAGGTATTGTGGAGGGAGTCGTGGCGGAGGGTCCCGAGATTGGTGGTTGGAGATCCGGTGCTCAGGGGATGGTGCTTGTGGGAGGTCTTTACCCGTGGAGGTGCATGAACCGTGACCGTCTCATGAGGGTGCTCGTGGCTGTGGGTTTCTGTGGTGGGAGCTCGAGAGAGGAGAAGGCAGGCGTGCCGGATAACGCTGGCGCCTCAGAGAAACGCTGGAGGAACACAGAGACAACAAACACATTACACTGGAGAAAACTCGAGAAGAGAAGTAGCTTAGCTTGAAATGCTCAATACTGTGTGGCAGCTAAGCGGCCTGAGTGTACCACGGGGGATGTGTCACAATCATCTGGCGCTGGAGTCCTGTGAGCCGCTCGTATTTGAAGGGCGAGCGGCTGATGAGCTGCTAGCGCCAGAGCGTTCTCCTTGGATCGGCTCCGCCCAGACTGCAAGAGAGGGAGAGAACACACACAGCACCAAAACAGACAGAACCCAAAACCCACATATACAATCACAGTCCTCACAATGTGTTGTTTGCTGCATTTTCTGTTTGACATCGTTCACATTGCAACATATGAGCTTAGCAGTGATATCAAAGTTTTGAAATTACTCTTAAAGTGTTTCCAAGGTCAAGAATGAACTGTTAATCTCAGACTTCATTTTATGTTTTGAAAGCTGCACCAGTTATTGGCGTCTCATTTTACACTTTAATTGACACGTTTCTGCCTTTACCTCGAAACACTCTATAAGCGTATGAATATGTGCACATGCTGGTGAACCGTGTGGCATAAACGGTACATCATCAAAACAGTCAAGGAGCATGTGCATGTGAATAGGTATGAATTTGTCCTAGCAGAAGTGCCAGAGGAAGCAAACATTTTAGTAGATTTGCAACTCATTCACTGAGATTTTAAGGTTATTTCGGTGAAGGAGAGACACGTGAATATGTTGCACCAACTGTTCAGGTGTCAGCTGTAGCATTACCTGTTTGAGGCAAAAAGGTCATAAGAAGAATGAGTCGTGAAAATACTTCTNGCCTGAAATCAAGCACTTGTTCCCGCTTTCCCTACTCCCTACTCCATTGTGAGCAAAATGAGAAAGATTTCCGACACTCATCACCATTTGGCATCGTCTCTGGCAGCTGTAGAGTTGTGCAACCATCTATCGAAGGGCTGCACTTGAATTTAGCAGAAAAGAGCGTGCACGCACTAGACAGAGCTGACATTTGGTGTTCTGTCACCAGAATGCAAATTGGAAATGAGTGTGGCTCCACTGATGTCCACAAATGTGACAAAATATTGCTCTGTGGCTCCACATAATCCAGCAGCTTGCACTAAAATGCCCTTTAAGCCCTGTTGGCTCAGAAGATGACTGCTCAGGAACGTATTCATTTGCAAAACAATTCAACCTCCAACAAGTTCCAAATCTGTCAGACGGATGGATCATCAGACACTTTTCACTGATAAAACCAACTAGAGCTAAAAGTAGGCATCGCTGTGCCACAATATAATTCATAGCAACGGGAATTAAAAATAATGAAATTCAAAAGCGCAGGTGGCTCCATTTCATTTCAGTAATTATGGTTTTTAGAGCTACTGCAGTGGATTGAGTTGAACTCCAGCCACAGCATGAAACTTTTACTTTACAATCCAATACTGACTGATGGCATAATTACAGCTGCCAACAGTGATCCTGTCTCATGTCCTGGGTGTTTAATGGTCATTAAAGGCCTTTTCATTTCTGAAACAATCAGTAAGATGAGGCCTGAAAACAAGCCAGCGCAGAATGTACAAACCAGGGCTGAACACATAATTGGAATTGAAATGTAACATCCAAACCACAGCTTCAGTTAGTTGATAACGGTGCAATGTGGTCACACGTACTGTTTAAAATGAAGCACTGTGGTGCTACAGAGGTGTTGTGGTCCATGAATAATATTTTCTGGCCTGTTCGGTGCAGACCTCAGCAACAATCACATCATCATTTCCACATTTGTTTCAGTAAAAAAAGATGCAAAAAAATTAACATCATCACTAAAATTCATATCGTAGNGAGCAGAGTGGATAAATGACTGAGTTGAGGCAGTAAAATACTTGGTCATACCAATAAAACTAGTTTAAAAAGTAATATTAAAAAAAGCCTCCATGCTTTTCTGGATTTATTGGTTTTTGTGGAGGAAATTTACTGTTACAGACGTTGGCAAAGCTAAAAGAAAATCCTTCAATTAGACAGAAACACAGTGGTCTCCCATTCCTCTTCTTGACTGAATAAATAAAGGTTGCTGCGGGGGAAGGCTGATCAACAAAGTTATGGTGAAATGCCAATAAATCACCTCCGCATGTGTGCTGCAGCTAAAGATGACAGCAGTCGTCGAATGACCCAAATAAGTCCAGTGGAACCTGAAGGGTTTTGTGTGAGCCGTCTGAAATTGGTTTCTATGCAGGTGAATATCAGAGGTCACGCTCAGATCGAGGAAAGTTAAAGGAAAAATCCAATCTCTCACACTCCTACACAGTTCCATCAATCTAAGGTGGTCAGGGCTTTCCACAGTCTGTTTTATGAGCAAGTGTTTTTGATCTCCAGAAAAGTTTCAACAAGCCTCAGAGATGAGCTTCTCTGTCAGCAAGAAGTGATAATACCCCTGACTTTAAACAGAGCATGTATTCCAAGTGCCTTTCAGTCATTTCGTCGTCACAAGCTTGTACAAACTTTTTCTTCTTCACAAATAAATTGTTCTGAACTTTAACTTAAGAGATGGAAATACATTAAAGTAACAGGTTGGTCTATCATCATGGTACACCAGCCTCTCATTTGGTTCCTGTCAGTCAATATTTAATCAGCTGATGCTACTTCCATCTTTATTTTTGATCAGATTGGAACAATTATGCATCATAGCGATGGATTACTAGATGATCAGTTCTTTTTTTTTTCAGGGACAATGCACATAAATTAACTTCCCAGTGAATGTTTTGGTGTTATACCAGAAGGCCATTCTCCAACAGTTGACACTTGGCAGGAAGGCAAAGCTCATAGTACACAATTTCATCATCAATTAGAGCCACAAACTTTCAGATGATCCTTGAACTAATCATGTCCGATCCACAGACTGTATAAAAGATGGACGTAGCTACCGTGACGTCACCCGTTGGTTTCTGCTCTGAGAAAATGAAGCCAGGGTTTTGCTACTTCCTGGTTGACATCTTGGATTTTTGGAGCCAGTGACGCAAAAATCATTGGAGGGGGGCGGAGCCATAGGAGCAGCGATTGGTCAGACGGATTGAGAGGCGGGCCCTCTCTGCCCGCCCACATTTACCGCCTTCTGCTCGCTTCGTCTGTATGGTCGCTGCCGACTGTCAATCAAGCCAGCCACGCCCCTTGCCCCGAAAAATGTTGATGATTTTTTAAAAATTCAGTATTGATTTATTTTCAGATTGGTCACCTGATCTCTGGACTTGACCATGAAAACTAATAAGAAAAAAATCCTGAGCTGGAGGAATGCAGTATTTCATGATCTGTGATCACTTCTTTTCCAATTCATTTCTATGGGAGCCAGGGCTTTTTGGAGCCAGGACTAGCGGACGTAGTGATATTGCAGGTTTTTGACACTTCCGAGTTGGCTTCATTTTTCGGGGCCGGTTGCTACGTCCATCTTTTATACAGTCTATGGTCCGATCATGTGGTATTTCCATCTGAAAAAAATGAATCAAAGCTGAAAATTGCAACATGTCGCCAAAATCACTTTATTTTACACGTGGCATTTAAAAAATTGGTCAAAAAAAATTCACAGGTTTTTCACTTATGGGTGACCAACAGTAACTGCAGGCTGTGCATAATTTAGAGAGGAGACAACAAGAAAGAGACTAAGAGCAACATAAAACGTACAGTATCATAACATAAATACAGCGTGGCTCAAATATGACAAACAATCCCAAAAATTCAACTTTCATTTTTTCTTCATGTCATCATAAATTTTCTTATGCTGCATGTTTGAGTTCTCTCTACTTCTAGCCATGGTTGTGCTGTCTCTATGTCTCTATATGTGTGCAGAACTTTATATTGAAGTGTAAAATGTGTCCATTGTGAGTAAAAAGTGTGACAGGAGAAAGAAAAAAAAAAAAAACACCCACCTTGGAGTTCAGAGGGTTAATCACTTCTACGAGACGTGTGACCTTCAGTTGACATGATAAACACACGCTGGGGATTATGTTGATGTGATGTTTGACCAGAGTCAGAACCACTCAATTCATTTGGCTTCCAGCTCAACTCAAGATAATGAGTAAACAGCTCCTGAAAGTTAAATTGGCTTTACCTTTATTTATCTTTTCCCTGCGCAATGTGTGTGCGTTTGTGTACTTGCGAATACATCCGGTATTCTCCCCTCTTCATTAATACATAGACTACTGCTGCTGTGTTTGCTTACTGCATGTGTGTCTGCACAAGAATGTACGTTTGCCTGCGGTGCATTTGTGCGTCCATCATTGTGTATCACGACACGTCCATGTGTTCGAGGACAGCGCAAATTAAGCCCCCCTCGCCCCCTGCTGACGTAGGCGCTACGTCTCCTCCACAAAGATCAAGGCATGCAATTATTTGTGGCGCTGCCCGAAGGCCTTCACGATCAATGCTTGTGATTACCATGTTGCAGCTCGGGCTTGAGATAAATTAGAACAACCAGTCTGGGCTGTGTGACAAGTGGGAAACAGTTCTGGTGAGATCCCTATTTATACCCACAGCGCTTTGAGCTGAGACAACCATAAATCACGGAGCACAAACAGGTCTGATACAATCACACTGTAATGCATAGTGTTTAAGTAGTTTAAACTGATTGTGTGGAGCTTGGTGCACAACTGTCAGTCACTCCAGAGAAGAAAATGTTTGCTTAACCCTCCAGTTGCCTTTAAATTTACTAACATCTTTTACCCTGGGGGTCAATATTGCCCCAGCAATTTAAACCTCATAAGTGAAATTGGTACCTACGTTTATGTGTCAGGTACTTTAAGTTTGTTTGTTGTCTCCCTCAATAGCCTCAGACAAAGACGGGGCTTTTGGGTTTAAATGTTGCTGCAGGTCCTTCCCCCACACTGTCTCCTGTCCTGACTATCCTGTCTAATATATATATATATATGTGTGTGTTTTTTCTAAAAGCTGCAGGACGAGTTAGGTGCCGGAAAATAGTTTCAGCAGAATCTATAAGAAAAAGCCCTAAGAACAGCAATAAGTGTGCATCAGTGCTTCTGTATTGGCACATTTAACTCCATCCGGCTGCTTTTTAGAACATCTCAGAACACAGGACCTCTGTGTCGTTCCAACAGATGCTATTTCCACACTTTATACTTGTTTGTCAGTGTCCTTGATGAGAGTAGAGCGCACACCCTTGATGGATAAAAAACGCTGTTCATGACAGTCGTGGAGAGCCGTCTGTGCTGTTGAGTGTGTTGAGTCACGG